TCCATTAAATACGATGTTTGCAAAATATTGCATATTTTAATAAAAAAAAACTTCAGATATAAAAACATAATTTTTTCGACTTACCAATTGTAAAATCTTTAATGTGCTCCACATTCGCTAATCTTACATCGAAATTTCAATTCCAGAGAGCGCTAAAATGTGACGTTGAAGAACCTTTTTATATTTTCGCTGTTTTCGCAAACAAGTTATATTTTTTTGCTCTTGAGACGCGCTCGTAAAGCTTACTCGGTTTTAGAAATCGTTTACATTATTTCGTATTTTACTTTGCTGCCAGTAAAAGCAAGCTATCCTTGAATTTGAAAATTAATATTCGCGTTCATTTTATGCGAGACGTTGTTGCACACAAATACAAATGCGAATGCGCATATGTATGTGTAATAATGTAAACACACCCACAGTACACTTTCACACACCTACATATGTATACATTAAGAGCAGACGCGTTTTTGCGGTTTACAAGTTTGCAGATTCAACGGAAGTGGGCGGACGGATGCGCGGATAGGGCGATAAATGTTAAAGGACCACAGAGGGCGTTGGCGGGGGTCAATAAAGGCGTAGGTAGACACGCGTAGTACTTTCCTACGCTCGTATATTTGCTGTTTTGTAATTTTTATAATCGATTATTTTAGCGAAAACGCTTTAACAAATATTTGTTTACTTTTTTTTCCGAATTCACAGTTACCGCACCCAATTTTAATTTTATTTTTAGATTTATTCCATTTTATCAAAATGTAAACACCATAAAATCACTGAACTTCATTTGATTATTTTCATTTTCACATTCGCCATTTCTATTTCTTTATGCGACTTTATTCTTTTGTGATGCTTCACAAGCGTTAATGTCCACTAACACACATGTAACTATGTATGTGTTTCGGTTTTTACTGCTATCCTGCTCACACAAGGACAAATGACCCACCGATTTAATGACTTCCAAGCGGAATTTACACACACACGGAGTTATATTTGTTTATATATACATATGTACATAATATAATGCCTATGTATGCACGTACATACATATATGTAGCAGCGTCGCTCTCACGGTTTCTGATTGTGCCGGGCACCATGGACAGGGCGTCAAACGCTAAACGACACAGCGAAGTACGGTAAATTAGGAGTCAACCGACGAAGTTGGCAGCAAAAAGGATGACGCAAACGTTGTAAAGGTGGTTGCAGGAAAATGAAAAAAGAAAATGCATTTACGTCTGCACTTGAATTTTTTCTTTGGTGTTCTTGTTGTTGTGCAAGCGCTGATAATTTGTTTGATTATGTATGTGTTACACTGTGGAACGCTCAAAGAAAAGCAGTGATCAAGTGAAAACATATACATACATATATATTGTTTACACACACAATTTCGCAATCACTTATACATACATACATATATATTATTATCTTGTAATTTTATTTATTTTCACACTGTAAAAGTTACTGAATTACATATTACTTCACTTAATTACATCCATACATACCTAAGTATATATTACTTCACTTAGCGCTCAACCACTTTCTATACGACTTTTTCGTGCCTCGTTCGTTCACTCACTCGCAGTCTTGGCAAACGCTGCAGTTAATCGAACTGTAGCAAACGCAAACAAGCCAGCCGACTCAGTCACAATCGCTGGCATCGCTATCGTTCAGCTGTTCGCTTACCACTTCCGCACTTAGGTAATGCAAGTGCGAGTGAAAAGGATGACTAATATGCGCCAATAAACCTAACTTCACTTTTTACTTTTGACGTTTGTAGTTCGTCTATTGTGAATATCTACGGCAGTGGCGTGTCACAGCTGTTCGCAATGGTAGATGATTGAGTGTGAGTGCGAGTGGGTGTGCGTGTTGTGCGTATGACAGCCAGAGTAAGTAAACGACGCTCTTATAAAAGTATCTGTAAGATAAAAATATGCACTTTCCCACGAGTTGCAACCAACACCAAAATTCTTTACCCACAGACTGACGTTTCACTTAGTTCGGCCAGGCAATATTTGCTTTCTTTTCACACTTCGCTCTTCAAATATATAGGAAATTGTTTTGCTGTGCATTCGATTTAATTACCAAAACTCAATTATATTCATTTTTTATTTACTCAATCCACACGTGCCTCGATCTACTCGCTGGGTACTTGCTACTCTCACGTCTATGACCGTTGTGTTACTGTTTCGCTGCAATGGCCATCTGTTCCTAATTGCCCACTGTGCTGGCGAACTCATCCATATTTACAATACGTAAATACATATGTGCATTTCTGTGTATGCGCAGTGCATTCAGCTTTGTAGTACTATGGAGGAGCGAGACAGCTACAGTTGTACTCCGTACAATGTTTTTTACTCGTTCACAGTTAATACTCCGAAACCGTGTTATAGGTCTGTGCCTTTGACTAGCAAAAACTTAAAGTTTGACAGACACTGGGAATGGTATTGATATGTACATATCGATGTGTATATACGTATGTACATATATCTGTTTAGATATGGCAACCACGTTCTCAAGTTGTGGTTGTAAAATGGAATGAATGGAGTCTTTTAAATAAGTTTCTCCCAAAAAAGCAGAATCGTCGGTTTTCCGGTTCCGTATTACTATTTAAAAGCACAAAATTACTGCCCAAAGCTCTCTAGTTTAGCCGAACTTTAGTTTACTGTTTACTTTAGCATAGCATAGCTTACATTAGACTGACCCGACAAAAATGAATGTGCTTATTTTTGTGAGATTATGGCTAAAAACCATTCCCTGAAACTTTGGTGCAAAATTATTAATACTAGTATCGCCCAGTTGTCGAAATTCGCCATTTTTCATACACTTTTAAATTTTAGTTATCACCAATATGGACTCCTTTATGCGAATGACGATTTTGAAGTCAAGGCCACCACCAAAATTTATAGCGAATTTATAGGAAAACTTAAATCCAAATTTCTTTGTAGCTTTTGAAATTATACCGAGAAAGGAACTTCAAATTTCATTTATAAAATATATGTATTTGTATGTATAGATGAGATGCCAACAGTTCCTCACTGACTATTATGTTAAACTAATACCAATTCAGACTTTAAACATGTTTTTCGATCATATTGGTCTGAGAGCCCCTTGGAAGTTTAACCGCCCAATTCTGTGGTTTCTTAATAAATTTTTTGTAAAGAAATTTTATCAAGATTTTTATCAAGTAAAAGCTTATTCCGCATTCTGCGTCAATATTTATAAAACAAAAAGCTCTACGATTTCCACATTAGTGGAACTGATTTCATTGTCACTTATGAAAAATATGAATTTGAACGCACAAAAGCTTTTGACTGCCGTAGCCGAGTAGGTAGAGATGTCGACTGTAATTCCGTGTGTCGCAGGTTCAAATGCCGGCACATGGAGTATTTAATTGTTAGTAACAAATTTATTAATATACAAAACTTATACATTTCACATGAAATTTCAATTTATTTATTTATTTATTTATTTCAGTCTTGGAATACAGAATATTCTTACAGACTACTCAGCTAACACTAATTAAGTGCTACTAAAACTTAAAAACTAAGATAAGTTTTAAATACATTAAGTTCACAAGAGCTAAGATTAAATACATCGCTAGTGGTATAGCGCAGAGAAAAATGTTCGCAGATGAGTAACCAAGGCAGGGCCTGATTGTNTAACAAATTTATTAATATACAAAACTTATACATTTCACATGAAATTTCAATTTATTTATTTATTTATTTATTTCAGTCTTGGAATACAGAATATTCT